TAACAGACCTAATTTTTGCCATTTTTTTTACAAAAGAAAACCTCCCCCTTTATTTTTATAAATAAATGTTTTTCTTAAAAATGTACCTGTCCAAATAAAGCGACATCAAGATTAACCATCACCACTGGACTTAGGGCAGATGGGGCCCAATAAATAATTTGCAATGAGTTTAGGGTTCAACAACAGTTTATAGTTATAATCAACTTTGCTAAACAGACATTTTTCTTATACCATCAATATGTATAATCCAAAATAAATGGGTTTGGCCCAATAGAAAACCATGATCCAAATTGACGTGTTTAAAAGTTATCCAGCTCAAACAAAAAGATTGAGTAGTTATAGTCAAATTGTAACACACCAAAATTTTTTTTTTAAATAATTTAACTCAACCATAGTTGGGTTACAGCCACCCAACACATTTTTATATCAATAATTTCAATATAAAATATTTTATAATTGGCTTCAACTCACACACTATAGCATTTCAGATAAATTTTTACCTCCCACATGCCATTAGGCTAAATCACATTTGTCCATCCTTATACTCCCAACAAGTAAAATAAGTAATTTAATAAATTTTCAATACAAGCCAGTTATTTGGCCTTATAATCATGTTATTTTAACCAATCCAAAATAAACCAAATATTAAAATTACAGTCATCCAAATTGTACCAAAAATAGAAATAGTTTGAAAGGTATGATTACATTTATATATTCATATAATTGACAATAAACAAAAAAGTCCTAATATTGGCAATATAACACATTATAAATCATAAATTAAATACCCAAAAGAGACAGTGGATCTATACCACTAAGCCTCTGGGACTCCTCCACGTGTCACTCGTGGCTCTTCTCCTGAAAATTGTTAACCACATAATGAGACTCAAAAGTCCCAGTAACCAAAGCCAATTTATGATAGTGTATACAAACAGTTAAGTGTGTGCTTACTAAGTGAGAATTAAAAATAATATAATTCCAACAAATATAAGAAATATTACAATAAACACAAACAACCATCCTTATATCCCTCCATTAACCTCGAGCCGTAGCCCTCACTCGGTGCTAAATTACCCGGCCAAAGGTAGATTAGCCCGAGCCCTTACAAGCCACCTATTGAGCTCCAATAGGGGCGTACCACGTGGCACATAAATACAACAATAATAGCAAGTCTCCCAACACCTCCCACAATAATTAAACAAATTCATAATAATATTGCACAATTATACAATATTATAAAATTCATAATTTTCTCAATAATCACCCAATTAACATGAAGTAACACTAATCACAAATTAAAAGCATGGTTACCTTGTAGCTTTTTCAATAAATTATTCCTTAAAATTTCTCTCTCACCACAATCTTCACCAGTAATACAATCTACAAATAACATATTATTTATAAATAATTCTAATAATAGAATTAAAAATATAATATAATTCTTAATTTCAATCTTAATACAAATCTATAGTTAATACTATAAGTAAAATTTTTAACTCATCTTTTAATTATCAATAAACATTAATAATCTAAAAATTAACTTCTAAACTAATTTCTATTATCAAAATTTTCTTTTTATTTCATAAATTCGTACCTAAAATACCTAAAAATTAAAAATTGAATCTCTAGCTTAGAATTATAATCCTATAACCATAATAATTCATTTTTCGTCCCAAATAATCATCTAAACTTCAATAAATCAACATATATTTTCAGATCTAGTTTAGAATTTGATCCATAAGCCACAGATTCAAAGATCATCAATAAATTTATACTCTAGAACATTTATTATACTACTGACAACCTCAAAAATCATATTTATTCAATATAAATTCATCCCTCTTCCAGATCTTAAATTTTCTACCACTACAAACTCAAAAACCAAAGAAAAAGGATGACTAAAAAAAATTTTAGAACACTTACTTAGTCTTGAAAAGCTTAAAATCACACTCTAAATATCCTATTAAAAACTCTTACCTTAAAAACTTAGATCTCCTGCACCGGTGAAACTAGACGTTCTCTCAGCCTCAGCTCGCGCACAGGGAAGAATGAAGAAACGAAGGAAACAGGTGAGTTTTTATAAAAATTCAGTGGATCCCACATCTTTTTTTTATTATTTCTTCTCTCCTCTCTCCTTTTTTTTATTATTTAATATAAATATAATCATTGCAGGGAAGAGCACCGAAAACATCTTGTTCTCTTCTTTCTTTCCTTCTTTCTCATACTTTTTTTTTAAATTTAGAATCATATCCTAAGTTAGATTTAATAATCATCTCCTACTAATTTACTTACCTCTAAATATTTTTTTTAAAAAAATTTCTATTTACCAAAAATTAACTATTAAAATTTAAATTGGGATGTTACACAAATAACCTATAACAATTATCTAAAATAAAATTTATAAGAGTCCCTAAGTCATGACAATTATAATTACAAAATAAATAGAAAATCACGTGCCAAGCTGAGAGAAAGGAGCCTAAGCTCACTTCTTCGGTGCCTTCCCTGTGGCTTCACTTGACTGCTCAGCTAAAAATCATAAGAAGTAACATGTGAGATTAAAAATCTCAATAACAGTTGATTATTCTAATATATATCAACATACTTCTTGAAATCACTTCGCAAACATATCCATAGAAATACATATGCATTTCACAATCAATACACAAAATAAGAAACGCAATATTCACAATTTTATAACAATTTCTAAATTAATGTCAAATTAAAACAACAGTGATACATTTCTCAATCTCACCTTTATGGCTCCCAACTCCCTTATTATCGCTAGCTGGAGCCTAGATTGAAGTTATACCCAACTAAAGGTACATTGCTGTCAGAATAGGACTCCCTTCCTTAAAAAAAAGGTGACCATCATTCTAAAATGTTAAAGACATTGGGAACTACAAGAAAAAGGCCAACCACTATGCACGTAGTGGAGGCAAACCATGTAGCATAATATTCAATCATTAATTCCAAACAAACAATCATATTACTAGCAATCCTTATTACCTCTTCTGCATCACATAAAATAAATGTCACATTCCACAATAAGATCACACAAGTATTAATATATATATATATATAACACACAATACTAAAAACCAGTATCTCAATATATGAAAGAATATTTCAATATTACCTATTTTTTAAACTATAACCAACTCAGACGTGTAGGGAACTTTTTAACCATGATAATAGATTAATCTACGATATCGAATGATATAAATACCATTAGATATATATATATATATATATATTGTAATTTATCAATTAAATATAAAATTTAACTAAGCTTCTTAAATTTATAATCATATCCTTCTAATTTAAATCCCTCTGATAAAAACCCAAAATTAACTTAATCAGTTTATAGAAAAAATCTAAACCGATAGAATTTAAGTACTAATTTATCTCTACTAATTAATAGTTTTCGTTGTTAAAAGTCAATATTTTTTCTAATTTTAAACTTTAGAATTTACTTTACTCATCAAAATTTTACTATTATTAAAAGATTTGAATGCATAAGAAAATATTTATAAAAAAAATTTTAAAAATAGAAGTAATTTTAAACATAAAATCTTACCTCAAAAGCCTTCAAGTCCTTATCTTTTTCTTTTCCTTCACCTCCTCTCCATCTTTCTTTCTTTCTCTCTGTCTCTCTTGTCTTGTGCGTGAATGAGATGAGAGAACAAAACCAATAATATATATATATATATATATATTGGCTTCAATTCCACCGCCTCATCTTTTTCCTTTTTTAACTTCAATATACTTCCTCATTAAGTCTTCTCTTTATTTTATATATATATATATATATATATTATCATTTATCATTATTTCTAATTTCTAAAAGCAAAACTTAACATAAAAATTATATTCTAAGTTAAACAAAATTTCTTAATTAATTTATTTATCTTCAAACATTTTTTATATTTTTTCATTAATTCTAATTAAGTTTAAAAATTAAAGTAGAATGTTACATGTATTTATTAATATGGATTCTTGCGTCCCTGAATTCATACCTTTCTTCTCACTCATTTCAAATCAGAACCAAAGATAAAAATAGAAAAATAATAAATATTCTCACAAAAATAAAGAAGTTATTAATGTGTAATTTTTTTTTAAAACTGCTTATATTTTAAATCAAAAAGAGTATATTAAAATTTTAATATTAATAACATAACTTTTTTTTTAAAAATACAAGGATACAGTAAAATCATACAAGCGAAGGATCAATTAATGTAAGATCAAAAAATACTTCTACACCTTGAGAGTGGATTGACAAATATTATGGAGCTTAAATTGTCATTCGAAGCATGACGAGCCAACTAATTTATACATCTATCCACCTACTTAAAATCATGATTGAAAGTTATAGTCCAATTTTTTATAACTAACTCATTGATCTTATTAATATAATATTTGAGAGTGTGGGTTCCAAGAGAATTTTCATTGAATTAGTGTGAGGGTTTCAATTAAATTTGAATAAACGTTGGCCTTAGTAAAATTGCTATTTCAATAAAAGTTAAGGTCTTATAAGAATTACATAATTTGTGTATCATTCAAAGATCTAGCTATAGGTTTAGTTTAAACAAGATAAATAAAGATGAGAGACAAATGAGATTAGCCCCTACATCACTCCCTCAGTCACAAATTATAAAATAATTTAAGACAAGAATATGTATAATAATAAAACACAATAATAACATTTTATAAATTTATTTTTATCAAATAAAATTGTAAACTTTTAAAAATAACTCTATATATACTTAATCATTATGCTATAATATTATTTTAATTTTTTTTATTTGAAGGATAATATTAAAAATATATAGTTAATAAAACTTATATGAAATTTTACCAATGTTATTTTATAATTTGGACGGAGGGAAAATTAAGTAACTTTTTGCTTCCTTGAAATTTTAAAATATTTAATTCCAAAGCAAAATTAAGTGGGTATATTGGGTCGAAAATGTCAATGCTCCTATTATTTTCCCAAGTTTAAAAAAAAAAAAAGGCCGAAATAAATCATTGGATTAAAAAGCAAACCCTAGCTTTTCTCTTTGAGGGTTCTGCTCTTTGGTATTCTTGTTCCGAGAACAGGCAATTGGCGGCGAACTCGACAATCCACAGACATGGGTTGGTTTCACTCATAGATTTATCATTTTCCTTTGTTACTCAACTCCCTGTCTCGACTTATTGTTTTGGATTTCCGATTGTTTTGACTATCTTGTTTTCCGCAATCGCAGGTAAGGTTCATGGGTCATTGGCTCGTGCTGGAAAAGTGAGGGGACAGACCCCCAAAGTCGCGAAGCAGGACAAGAAGAAGAAGCCCCGTGGACGCGCTCACAAGCGCATGCAGTACAATCGCCGATTTGTCACTGCCGGTCGGTTTAATACATTGCATGATATTCTTCTTCTTCTGGTGTGGAATTTTAGAACTCGTAAGTTTTGTTGCCTGATTCTAATATGTTCCTTGTTCTTGTGATTGCAGTGGTAGGTTTTGGGAAGAAGAGGGGACCCAATTCCTCGGAGAAGTAATCAAAGGCTTGAATGATGGTTTTCTTAAGTTTTTAGTAGTGACATTTATTTTTGTCTTGAATGATTAATTTGAGGGTCTCATCATGTTGGATGACTCCTTTTTTGTTAGTTAAAACTTACTGCGACTGTGTTGTTTGTTGTGATTAATTAGCTTAAATGCTTTGATGCTAATTTAGGTGTGGCCTTAATATTTGACAAGAATGGATGATGCGAGTTAACTGTTAGATTTTGATAATCTTTATATTGATCACAATTTATTTTAAGGTTCTAAAACATTTAGAATTTGTAGCTTGTGTCTTCTGATGGGCTAGTCTCTTTCTCCTTTAAATATTAAGTACCATTTTGTTCAGACTCTGTTTCTGAGCTTTACCTGGAGGTTCAGCTGTTAGATGTTATTGAATGAATTTCAATGTACCAAAACAGGGCCATAGAGATTTCACTCTATTGAAGTTGATTGAGCAGGTATAGGAGTTTCTGAGAGACTGAGACAGGATACAAGACATGCCATCCTCTGTAGGTCAAGGTTGACCAATCAATTTTAGACGGTCCATATTTGAAATTCAGCATGCTGCATGCAGTTTATAAGTTGTTTTAAGATCCTTTGACTAGGTTCATTTAGTAAGTGAACTGCACATCTGCTCCTGTAGAGCATATTGACTATGTGTTGCGTTAAGGGGTTGGATTCATCTTTATTGATAGCATGTAGTGCACTTGTAGCCTTGAGGGTTTTGAAATACTTCGATTATCTATAAACATTAAGCACTTAAATCAATGGTTAAGTAATTTTTTTAGGTCTTAGCATTTTCCTATTAGCCTAATATGTTTAAATCAGTTCCTCTTCCTCAAATGCAACATTATCAAAATGATCATCATTAAGCAATCCCTTAGGCCTCAATTTCCTCTTCATCATGTTTCTGTTTACTGAGGAATCATATCAAGAGCAAGGGCATGAGGATGCCATTATCCCCATCTCTTGATCTTCATGAGGCCAATATTCTAGATCAAGCAATATTGATAGTCAAAGAATGGTCTTGTGAATCTCAAGCACAACCCCTGCAAAAAAATCACTTCAAGCTCCATTAGTGCAGCTATAAGAAGCTAATCCCTCTGGACCTATTTATAAGACACATTTGAGGAGCAAGTTTAGGTCTTTTATGCGAGACATTTCTTAGAGTCAATGAAGCATTAAAGAATGTTCTCCAAACTTTCCCTTCATTTAAAGGGGGGAGAGATTAATTAAAACGAGAACAGTAATTAATGTAATAGAAGGGTAATTTTGGAAAGTTGAGTTTATGTTTCAAAACTTAAATCCTATCAACTAATCTTTACCAACTTCCTTAATCTTTGATGAATTGGTTAACATTGCCACATATAAATAGGACTCGAGAGTATATGGAAGTTGCATTCTTTGCATGTGAAATGCTAGAAGCATATTGATGAGCTACATGCTGCAGTGTGCAGTGTGCAGTGTGCGATTAATTACTATGCTTAGATTATAGTTTATGACATTAGAGGAAGCAATATTCATGTATGGTTGGTTCAGTGGCTGAAGCTTTATTCGTTTACATGTTATGCAAACTGGCTATATCTGCTATGCTGCCTATGCATCTTATGCCTATGGCTGACATTAGTGCTGACGTGGTGACGACAATTGAATATCAGATGGAAGTATTGAATAACATTGTAAATTGAAGTTGAATCAATCTATTTAATATATGCTTGTAAATAATGCAGCTTGCTATAGATTTTGTATGTTAGATGTTGATATTTGATATATTGGTTGATATTGATGATGGTTGATTATCTTCAGCAAAGTAGTTTTAGTTAATGTCATGAGTGAATGTGATTTAAAATACCTATACATTATTTGAGTCTTATCTATGGCAGGTGGCAGCCTTATGTAAATTGATTTATTAAAATCTTAGAATTTCAGGGCCAAAAATATTTTCTGACAAGGGATTTACGTTTTGCCCAATATATTTGTTGGCTCTGGTCCAAAATGTTTATTTCTTCGGAGTCCATGCTATGGGTCTTGTCTTAGTGGGCTCGGTCCACTCGTCTTTTTCTTGTGCAAGCAATATTAAAAAGGGAAGTGTTGTATGATTATGATTCATTTTGGATATTTTATCACCAGGGCACAATAGGGTCCGAATCCTAAGCAAGGAATTTCTGTCCTGTCTTGTATAAGATTCCTGTCGCTTATTTTAAAAAATCGGATACCATTTCACTCACCTCAGAAATTAGAATTGAGAACTGAGATTTCTTTTCTTTTCTTTTCTTTTTTCTTTTTTCTTTTTCTTTTTGTCCCTTCACCAGATTGAAAAACAAACTAAAGCATGTGATATCCAAGTGGCAGTTCGTTATGCTTTTTAACATTTACATTTACGTTTATATTTACTTACACGGATTTCTCACATTTGGGGGGACTAAACCCTACCCTCATCAACTTAGTATAGTAGCTACTCCAACAACAGTTTAACACAAAAAAAAAAGGCACATTTGTCTATTTATTTTTTTGGGACTGAAAACGAACTTCCATTAAAAAGGCACATTTATTCTAATTTATTTTTTGGACCAACATCAAATAGGAAAGCTAACAATGCATGTGGAATAAACAGACCAAAAGGCATATTTAAGCTTCACACAGTTATCGCTAATGTGAGGAATGAATTCCAACCTCATTGCGGGAGACTTGAAACTTTACTGCAATGTTTAATATGTAGAAAATTATGTCTAGAAAGGAAATGAGAAATATTCAGAGACAAGAAATGAGAAGTGTATATATTTCTTCTTATTTTTTGTTCTAGAACAAGATTCTGGAATGATATAAATTACGTGCCAAGAGAGAAATATATATATATACATATATATATTTGAAAGAATTACTTTGAAACCTCTCACGACTTATTTAAATATTGTAAAGTTTGTTGGTAATTTTTCTTAAACCCAAAACCTTCACCTTTTTTTTTGAACAAAAAAGATAATCTGATATATTACTCACAGTAAAGCAGCAACCTACAAGAAGTAACACAATTTACCTATTTCTAGATGCCCTCTCATCATTCATCCTCTCTTCACAAGGTCATTGACAATTTAATAAGGAAAAACAGTAATGCGCCGAAACACCTGTGTTCTGGATTTGGATCCCCTCAGAAGCCGTTCCTCAACCTGGCCCTACAATTTATATATAATATCTTATATCTTACCACATCATCTCATATTAAAATAATATAATTTTAAAAATAATTATTTCACAATTTAATTTACCACTTTAGATATATTTTTTATACTAATGAGTCAAAACTTATTCTGAAAAATTACTCTGTAAATTTTGAAATAGATATTTATTAAATATGTCAAGCCATAATTTGTATAAGTTAGATGATAGATCTTTATAATCTTAAAAGCTTGTAAGGACCTATAGTTTGGGTTATTTAAAAAATAATTCAGGCTAAAGTTTGAATAAGTTAGACGATCTCTACAAATAGCTTGAAATAATAATAAAAGCTCATAAGAACTTATAGTTTGACTTACTCAAATTCTTATAGGATTTATTTAACAAAGATCTGTTTTTTTAAAAAATCTATGGAGTAATTTTTCAGAACAAATTTTTGAAAATAAAAAAATCATTTCGACTCATTAGTATAAAAAATATGTCTAAAGTGATAAAATAAGTTGTGAAATAAGTATTGTTAAAATTAAATTATTTTAATATGAAATGACGTGGTAAGATATGAGACATTAGATATAAATTGTGGGTTCAGGATTTCTTGCCGCTGAGGCACGTTGTGGGAACGGCGTCTGACAGGATCCAAATCCCTGTGTTCTTGGATGCTGTTAAGTGTTAACGATCACAAATTTGTCTTGGAAATAGTAAGAAGGACCAGAGCTTTGGAACAAGAGACGAGTTGATGCCGTTCTTCACTGCGCCATATATTCTGACTCCTGAGAGATCTGACAACACAACACTTGGGTATAACTGTCAAACATGTCACCTTTTATATATCTTTTTTTTTTTTTGAGCCACACCTTTTATATATCTGATATAGCATAAACTGGGAAATAACGGCATGAATATAATATATATTTCCATGAAACTCGTTACAAACGAAAGTGATGTGTCTTCTGTTCTGTCTCTGAATAATGGCACAGTGAAGAATGGTATCTCCTCCTTTATTGTTCCACTGTGAAGAATGGTCCTTCTTAACACTGCAAACGCAAAATAGACCAAGGAAAACTTGTGACCCTTGAGAACAGCCAAGAACAAAAGTGTTATAAAAAACTTGTTTGGATAAATAATTTTCATTTAATTATTTTTAAAATTATTTTTATTTTTTATTTTTAAAAACAAAAAAATAGAAACAATTCCAAGTTATTTTCGTTTTGTTTTTTTTATTTTTAAAATACACTACATTTTATCATTGAAAATTATAGTGACCTTAATTAATTTTTATTATTGATCACCACCACTAACTGTCTATAAGCATTATTATCAAACTATTTTTTAATTCTAAAACTGTTTTTTAATTGACATAACCAATTGTATTTTCATTTCATTTTATTTTGTAAAACAATTTTGAAAATTGTACAGCAAAACAATTTTTAAAAACAACAAATGAGAACAAAAACCAAACACGCCCATAATCATCTAGTTCCTTTTTTTGTAGCACGTAATCGTTGCTTTAAATTTAATATTCGTCATCTTAATAAAAATATGTTTCCTTGCTTTCTTTTTCTAAAGTAATAGTACGTTATGTATATATGCAATCCGTTGTGCTTCCAGAATAAGGAAGTGAGAAGAGTAATGAAGAGATGCGGTAAGGATTAAAGATCATATATAGGATGCTATATGTGTCCCTTTATATTAGCATTCACAATCCCAGTTATGTATAATTAATTAAATAATTAATTAATAGATCCTTTCAACTTGAGAATAAGTGAATTTTCTGAAGTTTCTCTTTTTTTAAAAAAAAAAGAGAAATTTTTTATATTTTATAAAAAATTAAAAATGAGAAAAATATCATAAAAGAAACCTTCATACTGTATATATACACTCCCTCTAGGATATCTTTTAGAAACTATACTTGGTCTAAAATGCATTTCATTGATCAAGTTATTCTTTTCTTTATGTAAAAATTCATTATTTTTTAATTTTACAAGAAAATATTAAATAAATAAATAATAAATATTTAAAAAACCGTCAAAAGATAAATTAGAGATTTAATATGATGATGATTGATTTGCAAATTAATAAATAAGATTTATTTTAATAT